AGAAAGAAAGAAAGAAAGAAAGAAAGAAGAAGAAGAAGAAGAAGAAGAAGAAGAAGAAGAAGAAGAAGGGAAACGAGGTGAAAGGTGAAATATTTGTGGGAAAGAAAGAACAGAATATTAATTAAAAATAATCTCACATTTGATAGTGTTAAATTTTCATTATCAAATTTATGATTTACGAGATATATAATATTTATAAATACTGCTAGTGGAAAGTTAAATATTAATATATGTATACACAAAATTTTGACATAATCGACAATCATTATGATTGTCGATTATATTTATATAATCGTCAAATTATCATAATCGACAGAATTTTTATTGATTATATGAATATAATCAATAACTTTTTATCTATTGATTATATTTTTGTTGGTTAAATGCTGTTTTATAATAATGTTACTCTTTTAAAAAAAGATATAATTATTATTTAATAATGACTTCTGACCATGTACTCCAAAGGCACAGTATAAGAGTGCATTTATTACACCTTTTATTATAAATGTATATTAAAAAATATAAAAGTTGATATTAATTTTAATATTAAATAAATTTAATTAAATATTAATTTTTATTTTTTAATACAAATTTATAATTAAAAAATATATTTAATAAATTTTAAACCTGTACTATATAGACAAACCCAAATTATAAAAGTGCCTACTAAAAGGTCGCCACTCTCTTACTTCCATATTTTCTCTAATTCCCTCCTTTTATCTTTACTTCTCTTCTTTAAAAATTTCTTTATTTTCTCTAATCTTAAAAGCAGTAATTTGACGGGTTCAATGGTGAGTTTAATTGGTCCAACCTCCAAAGTATGATGAAAAGTACCTGAGATCAATGACAAACCAGATTTTATAGGAGACATTACCCTAAAACAGACCTTGATAATTGCGACAAATGTGGTCATACCGGCTGCTATTGACATCAGACTCTTTAAGCCAGTGATTTTTTCAACTAGAGATGCATGAATTCAACAGTACTCAATGCAAGTAAATTGAAAATTGAGGTAGAGATTAAACATGAAGTAACATTTCTTTATTTTCTTTTTTTGGGTACGGGCAAAGGTCCTTGGAAGAGAGAAAAGAAAGTGAAGAAAAACAAATTAAAGAAAATATGAAAGTGGGAGAGTCACGACATTCTTGTGGGCTCTTTTATAACTTTTTAAATGTTATTTTTAAGGAAAAAATTCAAGAGTGTGATGCAATGTTGTGGAGAAGAAGGTCACTTGTCATTGGACATTGGATGTAATCGGAAGAATGGATATTTAAGTTTCGTCGTTAATTTGCCATTATAAATTCGTTAAATTGGGACTATTTTACTTAAATTGTGTAATTAGGAGCAAATGCCCTTCAATTTTAGGGGGTGTTTGGTTGAGAAACTTTCTTTCTTAAAGTTCTGTAAATTGTTTTATAAAGTTATATATATATTTTCATATATTAATGCTATAACATAATAAAGATAAAAGTTATATTTTTAATTTTTATTTTTCTTGATACAATTCTTAATTCTGTGAAGGATTTTTTTTCCATTGATTTGGTTAGGAAAAAGTTTTTTTATATTTGGCCTACTTAACAATTTTTTTCACTAACTTTTCTTGTATAAATTTCTTACTAAATAGAATAAATTTAATAACCCAACAAAATTATAACAAAACTTTATTACGAAACTTAATAATATTTTATACAATACTTTTTAATTTTTTGTATAGTATTTTTTAATCACTTTTTTAATAAAAATTTTTCTAATAAAATTAATAATGCTCTAACCAAACGAATCCTTGAGGTGAAGAGGGCAAATAACCTTAAATTTTATAAGTTTAGGG